GAAGTGCCCAACATTGGATTTGAACCTGGGTACTTTGCGGGCCTGCTGTTTCCTGGGCCTGCTGTTTCTCCTCTGAGCCAGCATACAGCTCAAGTAATAGTCTGAAGTTTGGATCTTGCCTTGTATCTAGCACTGGGGGTTGGAATTTACCTGAGACTGCTCCTGTCACTCATGGTTCACCTGTGGCTGATCACTGATTAGACAGGTTGACTCTGGTTCTCGTATTGCTGTTTCGTGTTCTCCTGTTGATTCCTGACCTCGGCTTGTTATATCGTGCATCCTGATTTCTGGTACCCACTGACCTTTGGCTTACCCATGATGATTCTCCTGTTTATGTCCATATCTGTACTGCGACTTGGAGCATCATCCTGCACAGCCCCCGTGCACAGACTCATAGGCCAGGTGAGTTCTTACCTGACCACCTTGGCCTGTGTTTAATTGCAAGGGTGAGCATATATCTGCGCTACAGACTCCCAACCCAGGTACAATCTGACAGAATGAACTGACCATATGGAGTCCGCAGAGATGTGCACCCTACTGTCCCAGCAAGAGTCCAGCCTGGCCCAGACTGTTTCAGAGCTGCAGCAAGAAATTCTATTTCTTAAAGGCACAGTACACCCAGCCCTGGAACCTGCTTATCCAGAACCCTATGTCATAATGCCTGACAGGTTCGACGGTTCCCGTTCCACTTTCTCGATGTTCCAGATGGATTGTGAACTCCTGTTTGCCTTGAAACCCAGAACCAGGGCTCGAGTCCTGCAGGAACGCATGGGAACGGCGTTCCTGCACTTTTTCCATAGCAGGAACGCCGTTCCCGTTACCTGTCCTGCAGGACCGGCCCTGCTCCCTGCACAGAGGGGCCAGCACACGCTGTGTTCCCTCTCCAGCTATAGCTCTCGCGAGACCCGCGGCTGTTACCATGGCAACGCTCCGCACAGGCGAGTCTCGCGAGAGTTAGAGCTGGAGAGGGAACACTGCGTGTGATGGCCCCTCTGTGCAGCGGCTGGCTCCCTCCAGCATACCACCAGGCCATCTCCCCCCTCCCTGACAAGGTAAGAAGCAGGGAGGGGGGAATAAAATGACACATAAAGTTAAAAAATACTCCCCCCATCCAGCACTCACACACCCATCATCCAGCACACACCATCATCCAGCACTCACACACCATCATCCAGCACACACACCCATCATCCAGCACATCACACACCATCATCCAGCACACAACACACCCATCATCAGCACACCCATCATCCAGCACTCACACACCCATCATCCAGCACACACACACCCATCATCCAGCACTCACACACCCATCATCCAGCACACACACACCCATCATCCAGCACTCACTCACACATCCATCATCCAGCACTCACCACACACCCATCATCCAGCACTCACACACCCATCATCCAGCACTCACACACACATCATCCAGCACTCACACACCCATCATCCAGCACTCACACACACATCATCCAGCACTCACACACACACCCATCATCCAGCACACACACATCATCCAGCACACACACACACATCATCCAGCACACACACCCATCATCCAGCACTCACACACACCCATCATCCAGCACTCACACACCCATCATCCAGCACTCACACACACCATCATCCAGCACACACACACACACATCATCCAGCACTCACACAAACACACATCATCCAGCACTCACACAAACACACATCATCCAGCACTCACACAAACACCCATCATCCAGCACTCACACACCCATCATCCAGCACTCACACACACATCATCCAGCACTCACACACACACCCATCATCCAGCACACACACACACACATCATCCAGCACACACACACACACACACATCATCCAGCACACACACACACACATCATCCAGCACTCACACACATCATCCAGCACTCACACACATCATCCAGCACTCACACACACACATCATCCAGCACACACACACACACATCATCCAGCACTCACACACACATCATCCAGCACTCACACAACACACATCATCCAGCACTCACACAAACACCCATCATCCAGCACACACACACATCTCCAGTACTCACACACACACACATAATCAGTACACACACACACACACCCATCATCCAGCACTCACACACCCATCATCCAGCACTCACACACCCATCATCCAGCACACGCACACACACATCATCCAGCACACACCCATCATCCAGCACTCGCACACCCATCATCCAGCACTCGCACACCCATCATCCAGCACTCGCACACACATCATCCAGCACTCGCACACACACATCATCCAGCACTCGCACACACACATCATCCAGCACTCACACACACGTCACCCAGCACTCACACACACGTCATCCAGCGCGCACACGCACACACTGCATTCATTATACACACTCTTCACTCACTACAAACACAATACATTCACTATACACCCTCTGCATTCACTATACACACTCTGCATTTATTATGCACATTCTGCACTCACTACACACTACATTCACTATACACACTACATACACTGCATTCATTGTACACACTCTGCACTCACTAAAAACACACTGCATTCATTATACACACTCTGCATTCACTACAAACACACTACATTCATTATACACACCCTGCACTGCACTATATGCATAGGAGTGTAATTTTTAATTTTTTTTTGGGGTGGGGCAGGAATCTTGGGTGAGTTCCCACACTTTTTTCCCCAGGACTTGACCCCTGCCCAGAACCTACGCCACCGACTTTATCAAGGTCCATTTTGCAATCAATGTACTTTCTGGATGGATTAAGGAGTGGACATACCAGAAGCTGTAGGAGAAAAGCACTGTTTTGGACAGCTGGGAGTTGTTTATGTCCACAATGGACTCACAGTGCTTTGCTTCTAAGAAGGCAACTCTCAAGCCTGCCCACAAGGTGGAACTCCACCTTGTACATGTTGGAGAGACTGTGCGAGCAGCAGCAGGCGGTAGTGGAGTTTCAGCTGCAGCATGCACGGGTCAGTCGCTCTTCACCAGACTTGCCCTCCAATTGAGTTAAAGGATTTCAAGTGGACTCACTACAATTACAGGGCCTCTAAAGAGTCCTGTATTGTCATTTGTCATCACTACCTCCCCGCGTCGGGAGTGGGTCATTTGCACGCCTGCTGCCTTCCTTGCATGTGGTAGCTGTTTGTCAGGGTCACTGTACAGAATCGAACCCTGATTCCCCATTACCCGTGGTTACCATGGTAGGCACAGTAAATGGCATCGAACGTTGATATGGATTGACATACGAATGTGTCGTCGCCTTGTCTTTGTGGAGCACATTGAAAAAGTGCTCTAGCATGACGAGCTGGGTGATCTCCTCTGGGAACTTGGCTTGATGGGAGTTGAGCCAGTTCTGGGTGGCTCTGTGATGCCACAGTGTATACCTAGATATATCAGAGCTGCTGCAGAAAGTGCGGGCCATCTGTGCTTGCTTTCGGCGTTCTCACCCTGCTGCTGCTCGCCTGTCTGCGCTGCAGCGTAACTTTGACCTTCCCGCTCACCGCCTCGTGAGACTGTGCGAGCAGCAGCAGAAGGTAGTGGAGTTTCAGATGCAGCACGCACGGGTCAGTTGCTCTGCGGAACAGTTTTCTTTTTTTATATGTCCCAATATTTTGGGGGCTACCCCAATTAAAAAAAAAAAATTATATAAATATATATATATATATATATATATATATATATATATATATATATATATATAACAGTGTTGGCTACCTCCTCCTCCTCCACCGCTGCTTCCATCTACACCGCTACGGTCACCGCCTCCTCAACCTATGGGTCATTTAGTATAAACTATGTACACAATAGCAGAGGCTTGTGAAGGCCTTTTCTTCATGCATCATGAGTTGAGCTCAGTTTGAACAATGAAAGAGAATACCCTGCACTCCAACCCTCTCTCAAATGGATAATTCTGGTGATTCTCCTGAAAGCAATGCTTTAGATTTTAATTTTATGTTCTTACAAAGCTAAAATCAAAGATTCCATCTAGTGCTAGTTTATTTTTTATTTTTATGTTATTTTAAGTGATTTCCCTATCCACATTTGTTTGCAGCCCTCTAGCCCTTTCCAGGACTTTTTTAGAGGCATTTTTGTGCCCCAAAGTTCGGGTCCACATTACCTTCAATGAGGTTCGGGGTCAATTTCAGGGTCAAGTTTGATCTCGAACCCAGACTTTTTTTCAAAGTTCGGCCGAACCCGCCGGACCCAAACATCCAGGTGTCCGCTCAGCTCTATTCCCAAGTGCTGGGGGACCTCATAGACTGGCACTGGGAGGAATCTCAAATGATAGGTGGAGATGGGACCGAGGTCTCTCTACCGGCCCTACAGGGATGCTGAGCAGCCAGCAAAGATCCCAAGCGGCAGCTGGAGTTACAGTGAGACTCCCCCCAGCGGCAGTGCATCTCACAGGGAGAGGAGACAACCGGCCTCTCTCCCCAGAGAAAGCGTATCCTACTGGGAGTGTAGACAAGCGGTCTCCCTCCCAGCAGCAGTGTGCGTCCCAGGGGGGCCGATGGTGTCGTCCTCCCCCCTAGTGGCAGTTTACTTTGCAGGGAGAGGAGACAACCGGTCTCTCTCCTCAGCGGCAGTGTAAATTGCAGGGAGAGGAGACAGCTGGCCTTTCTCCCCAGTGAAATGAAATTGCAGGGAGTGGAGACAAGCGATCTCCCTCCCCAGCAGCAGTATGCATCCCAGGGGGCCGAAGGTGTCATCCTTTTCCCCCCAGCGGCAGTGTGTCCTACAGGGAGAAGAGACTCTCCCCAGTGGTCTCTCTCCCCAGTGGCCGGACAAGTTATTGGGAGTGGAGATGGTTGGTCTCACTCTCCAACGGCAGTATGTGTTTCAGGAAGAGGAGCATATTGTCCTCTCACCCCAGCAGCCGCTTACCCTACAGGAAGAGGATACTTCCTGCAGGCTACCCCAGCAGAAGAGCTGGCATCAGGGCAGAACGCTGCTGGCCTCTGACCTACCTACCCCCTTGTTACAGGACAGGATTGTACACCCGTTACCCCAGCAGAAGCACTGGCAACCAGGCAGAGCGCAGTTAGCCTCTGTCCTCCCCTGGTCCAAGATCCAGGAACTGACCACCCACTCCCCTACCCAGCTGTAACGCTGGCTGCAGGGCAGAGCGCCGCTGGCCTCTACCCTAACGGTTCCCTTGCCACCGGGCAGGACTATGCCCTGGTCCCCCCAGCTGAAGCGCTGGCATCGGGGCAGAGTGCAGCTTGCCTCTGCCCACCAAGCTTCTTGCCTAGTTGCACCAGGAAAATTAAGGGTGCTTAGCAACCTCATACATACCGGACAGAGCCGGGCACCAGGAATCACCAGGGGCAGTAATTGTTTCTTGTGGGGGGGGTTGCTCGACTAACTCAGTGTCAGGATTACTGTTTGATCCAGCACGTAGAACTGTACAGCACGGATGACAAATAAGTAACGTTTTACCGGTCCTTAGAATGGCCGGATTTAACGTACAAAGAATAGTCAAAAATACTAGCCGAGGTCAGGGAACACTGAAAGGGACACAGCGATGAGGAAAGCCAGGAGTCAGGATACCAGAATATAGAGAAGTCAATAAACAAAGCCAAAGTCAAAAACCAGGTAGAAAACTATAAACAGGAACGCGCTCTCAGACAACCACAAGGGAAACCACGACGGGGCACTGAGCAGGCTGAGAACTGGGCCTAAATACCCCTCCTTTAGTTCTGATAGGCTGTAACCGGCCTTTGACCCCAAAGTCAGTTACCAGGTTTCATTTGCATAATTGCTGCTCAGCATTAACCCTTCTGTGGATTAGGTTGCTGCTCGGCACAACTTTTCCTGTGTGGACAGTAAATGTCATTAATCACTTTTCTCTAAGCGGATGAATACATGACACCAGGTTTCATTTGCACAATTACTGCTCAGCATTAACCCTTCTGTGGATTAGGTTGCTGCTTGGCACAACTTTTCCTGTGTGGACAGTAAATGTCATTAACCACATTTCTATAAGCGGATGAATACGTGACACTCAGGCACTGACCGACAGAAGGTCAGGTACCTGGTTAGTCTCCCCCGAAAGGGGAAGATATGTGACGAACTACACATCACCACTGGTTTTTGGAGGGGCCTGCTTGCCCGCCTCCTACCCTGGGACTATGGGCCCTGTGATAACCCATGTTCAAAAGTACTGCTTCTGCCCCTTGGACTTTTAACTGGAACAGATTCAAACATGTGACGGCAGCCATCTGAAATTGTCCAACAGTGTTTTGAAACGATGGTAAGGGGTGAAATAAATAAAATTAAAAAATTTAATAAATTCCAACACAATATGTCCACAAAAGAAAAAAGTATTCTAAAGGATTTACAAAAAAATAAAGACCTAGTCATTAAACCGGCCGATAAAGGGGGAGGGATAGTAATACTATCTAAATCTAACTATATGGAAGAATCTGAGAGGATTCTCTCAGACAATACAACATATCGGAAACTTAATTCAAACCCCACAGAAAAGGTTAAGAAACTCTTTGGAGATTTCATTCAAAAGGGATTAGAACTAAAAATCCTTACAGAAAAGGAAGGTAAATATTTACAAGTGGCACACCTAAAAATACCAGTTTTCTACTATTTACCGAAAATACATAAAAACCCACTTAATCCACCAGGACGCCCAATCATTTCAGGGATTGACTCCATATCCTCAAGAATTTCTGAGTATATAGATATACTGCTACAACCGATAGTTGGTAAAACACGAGCACACCTTAAAGATACGATTCATGTTCTGCAAGTTTTAGATTCCACTCAATGGAAGGAGAGTTACCATCTAGTCACGAGTGATGTCACATCCCTTTACAGCATCATTCCACATGACATGGGGATTAAGGCAGTCGAATACTTCCTCATTAAAGCTAATTTTAAAACAGAACAAATTGATTTTATTTTAGAGGGAATCCATCTCATTTTA